GAACACAGGCAGGTGCTTTGAAGAGGTTCCATGCTATTCCTTCAGTACGTGTTGGCAAATATTGAGCGTCCATATGTGTCCCAGGAGCTGTGTCGCGAGGGAAGCTTCTTGGGATAGATCTGGAGATCCAGGGTAAAGCGAACTCACCCGTAGAGAAGGCTTTTGAAGCCACTCTGGCTCCCTCATTGTAGCTCCGGGTAACAGGTCCCTAGGTGGCACAACCATCCATTCCACCTCCTATCGCTCCCATTGGCCCGGCGCGTGATTGCTGTGTTGGAGTGGCGGCGCCCGCCGGGCGCCTGCCCGTTTCGCAAGTGTTTTTTCCTCGTGCTCTTCGCCTGCGTTCAGTTTGGTTCCGGTTGCCTGCCTCACGCAAGCGTCCTCATGCAGCTTGCAGCGCTTGTCCCGACTGTGCGACCGCCTCAGTTCTTGGCCATGGACGGATGGTCCACTTGGGTGCAGGTTGGCAGTTGCTGATCAGGGATGAGTCTGGTTTGTGAAACTAAGGCACTCTGCATACTTCTTGTGGCGCTGAAAAAGTTACCCCAAGTCCCTACCACTTGGAAGGGACCGAGTCCAACCTCTGACAATCCCTTTCGGGAGTTGAAGCAATCAGCAATCAAAAGGCAGATTATTTCCCGAGGCCAACAAGTTAAGAACGCCGCAATGTTTGGTTTTTCAACATGTTGCCATTGACAAACATTGTTCCCGTTGGAAGAGCTTTGCTTCACGCTAAAGGTTTGATGAGTGGCATGCTTGGAAGGCACCCTCGTTGCCACGTTGCTCGCGGCCATGGGGGTGAACAAGAAATTGACCTCCGAATCTCAAAGCTACAGGGATCTGGGTGGATTTCAAGCGAAGAGGGCATCCAGAGCGGCAGGTATCAACGCGTAGACTGCGGCGGAGACGCTTGGCGATCTTCGGCTATGGCACATGCGGCTACTGCGTTTTGTTCGGGAGCATCCCCTTTAACGCCGGGACGCCCTCAAAATTGGGTCCCTCACTTATAGAAGATATCCAGACAGACCATCCCCAAAAAACCTGTGATTGGCAGCGTCTCGCAGACCTCGCATGATGATGACCAAGGAAGTGATGAACAACGTCGGTGAACCAGTCAAGGACCGGATTTGCCAAGTTTGATCACCCCCAGGCACACTTACTTATAAGCATTTGTTTTTGGGAAGCCAGCCTGGGATGAAGTCTAGCGAGCAACCAAAATGTACCGCGGGCGTGCACTGCCAGGACAAGCTCGAGTTCCTGCGGAAGTATCGCTTCAACGTGTGCTTTGAAAACGCGTCCTTTCCAGGCGGATGTGCGCGCGAGTCTGCCTGGCAGTGCATCCAATTCATGATCCTGGGGCTTTTCAGGTTGGCCCCCGAGACAACCCGAAAACATCGCCTAAGTCAAGTCGTTCGCCAGCGCCAGCACGGTCAACTCCACACCCCACTGGTCAAAGCGGGCTAGCAACCACTTGATGTTGACCCGGATTGATCAGCTTGGCGGCGTGGCGGTGTTTCTCGCTAGTGGGAGACCACCCTTCAAAATGGGTGGCTTCCCCGAACAAAATCAGATTGGAGGATGATTAAACTCACTTCCTCAGTTTCTGGACTTTAATAAACTTTTTGGGAGGACCCGGTTTAGTGATAGATGAACAGTCAATCGACTCAGCACGCTGCATCCTGGGTTCCCATTGGCAACCAGCTTTCGAGCAGGCTACTGCACGGAGAAGCTCTTACACGCCTTTGCGGCTGGCTGTGCCTAGGCCTCGGCTTGAATCCGAGAATCCGGTGATCCGAGCGCTTGCGGAACCCTTTGAAGGATGAATCCCACCTTTTTGATGTGTCCCTTAAGCCACCCTTTGCTGGTTTTGGCTGTAGGGGTCAAAGTAGCTCCTTACGAACCAGAAGGGGTTTTCCTTGTTTGGTTTTTCTTGCATTGTCGGCTTCAAGCTCTGGAATCTTTCCCTTCACCCCTTTTTGTGAACATCCCTACATGTTCCGAACCCCGAGATGTCGAAGCAGGGGGTCCAAGTACCGCGAATTTTTGGCGGTGTATTTTGTCAGAAAAAGAAGACAGTTTCGGAACGTGCCGTGCTTTCCAATTGGTATCATTTGCATTCCCCAAATTCGGCAAGGGGGGGCAATCTGCTGAATTTGGTGTCTGGCAAGCAAGTAGCCCCTGTGTTCAGGTGTACGTCTCTGTCGGTTGGAGCACGAAGCTCCGCAAAAATTGTGGAAGTCACATTGATGCGTCCCATTCACGGCAACCTTTAGTAAAAGGGTGTTTGAACGAGCCTTGCTGGAAAACAAATCGGCTGAGTAAGCAAGAAGGAACCGAAGGAACCCCTCGTTTTGGCAAATGAGATTGGATACATGTTGGGCTCCCACAAATGTTGTTGCTTGGTTCTCAGAGCTCGTACGCGCGCCACTTTGAGTGATTTTGAGTGTTTGTATGGAAACAGAAGTTATTGTCCATGGAACCTGGTGGGTGAACAGGTGGCGCTTCCAAGAAGTCACGAATTCTTACACCGAAAGCAACCCGGGTCTGTTCCCTTCTGTTCTTCGCCTGGTTTCGTGTTGGCCTGCGGATGTGTTTCTCTTAAGATCAAGACATGAACTTGGACCCCGCAGGAAGGCCCACAATGCGACTTCTTGGCTCTGTCGGTTTTTGAGGGCACCCACCGGATGGTTTTAATTTTAAGGGAAACCAAAAGGAAGACCGCCAGTTGGGTGGGGCATAGTGAAAAACATAAGATGCCCCGTGATGCGATTCACTAACACGGCACCTCACGATGGGTTCCTTTGAGATGAGTCTTCAAAATGCCCTGGCACAGGGGCGTTCTGTTCGGAAGAGCAAAGACGTTCCGCTTCAGCAGCGCCTGTTCAGCTCTTTCTCTTGGATGGTACAGCAAAAGATCCTCCACAGCACACATTTCCAAAATTATCAGGCAGTCTCACTTGACAGAAAAAGGGCAATTTCATGCCATTTCACCCAGAGAGTATATGTGCTTTAGTGGAGTCGCTCCTGCTCCCTTCGATGAAGATGCTGGAGGCACTGACACATTGTAGTCTTATTGAGGAATCATGATGCAGCACCAACCACTTGGACGGCTTTTCAGGCATCATGTGTCCTTTGTTCCCCATCAAGAAATCAAGCGATGCTCAGATCCCCATCTACTGGGGCGATCCAGCCGCTTGCTCGACGAGCAGTGCTTGCGCATCTCGGCTTCATTTGCCTGAACTTGTCGGGTGTTAAGGGATTGTAGCATCGCAGAGCAGTCCACCGTACGCTGTTGTTCTTGCTACACCTGTGGTCCCCTGGCCGCCTGGCTCCTAAATTTTGAGACCTTTCAACAAGTGTTCCGCCAGCATGCCGTAGCGTGCCTTGCTCCACCCGCTTCACTAGCATTGCCAACGCTGTCGAATCCTTGTTACCCACATCGCTGGTCTGGCCGAGCAGCGTTTTCGCTAATATCAGTCCTGTCATCATGCTTTGCATCCCACCAACATTCCCGGGCTACCCATGATGTTTGACTATGTCTCACATTTCTGGCATCAGCAGGACCCAACTGCCATCAATCTTTGCCTGCCAATCCCTGAGAGCCGTCCAGGAGGATTTCGTTCCTAGGGGGACCCTTCCCAGCGTTGACTTGAAACCTACATCAGCCAACTGACTTGGTGTCTCAGCGCTTCTGTGAGGCATGGTCAGGCCTCTTGTGGCCTGGGCCAGGGAGGTGTAGCATAGGTGGGGGATAACCAGCACTAGTGTGATTTTGAACGGGCCCCGAGAAAAATCCCACTCAAATTGGGGCACCCCCTAAAAAAAGGTCAACCAGTAGAGGAATCTTGCCGGGGTCCCTGTACCGTAGCTTTGGAGGAATTACCCCATGCGCCACCTCTGAAACAGGGAATCACTTTCCCGAGGACAATCGTTAGTAGCGAGTCATTCTTGAAAAGTTTGGGATAGCATGTCGTATTTTTTTGGAATCCGCTTGAAAGAGACAAGCTAGTCACAGAAAGGGGAATCCTACATAAGTTTTCTGTTCGCCCCGGATGGATAAACGCAGTGGACAAATATCGAAGTGTCTTACAACAATTTGATCCTGATCCTCTCTCACGTGAAATGGCCACCGATGTCTTGGGCCCAAACTATGCTCCCTGAAAACATGGAAACCTCCCAGAAGGCCTCTCCAAGTCCTTTTTTTTCCCTTCCAAGTCTCGGGAGCTTCCATGTTAGCCTGGAGGGTATCACAAAAGGACCCTCCCTGCCCATCTTCAATTGGAGGGGTATTTGTTTAGGATGTTGTCTTGTGTTTTTTTGGATTTGTTTCCGCTTTTGGCGTCCTGGCTTCTTGGCACCCTTCAATCGAATGCGGTAAGTGGAGTGAGGACTTCAACCCAGAGGCGTTCATCAGTCAGAGCCTCAGGTGGCTCTCGGAAAGGAACTTCCAGCTCGTTTTTTGGGGGATGCCCAGAATGGTTGGCGTTCCTGTCGGTGTCCCTGAAAGAAACTCTCAGAAATGACACACCCATGCACCTGCACAGATGAATAAGACGAGATAACCAAGGGAGCATCATTGGACGCCTTTTCGGATCATGGAGCTTTGTCCAGAGCAATGCACACCACCCAAAGGCCAGAAAGTCTATGATGGTGTCCACTACCCCCCAAACCACTACCCCCAAAGTACACTGGAGTATATACCCTTTTTCTAGCGGCTGTGTGCGGCTGTATCTCCCATTGAGCCCCTGGGGGTAGTGGTTTAGGGGTAGTGGACACCATCTGGCCATGGGTCAAAAGCCCGTACCCCCAGTGAACATCCCAATCCCCACTAAAACAGGTTCTAAAATGGGTGGTACACCTACCCCAAAATGGTGCCAAAACGGTTTTGACAACCACAGCCATCTTAGACTGTAGTGCTCAGTGACCTTCGATAGGGGCGATTCTGGGGCACCCTGGCCTGACCAACCGCCCCCTACCAGCGCCGGCAGCTACTTGGCTCCAGAAGACCTGCGAGCCATGCGCGCCATCTCTATTGCGCACCTTTGGAAATTATGCAGGGCTCCTTAAAAGATACATGTTGCCCATTTGAAACATGGCTTTTTCAACACCAAAATAAAGGGAACCCACCATTTACAAGGCAATGTTCAGGTGTACAATGTAAGGATCCCTGTTATGTGCGCCACAATCAACCCCGGGAAGGTGAGGGCAAGGGACCACCCCAACCGGTAGATTCTTTGGTGCATGGTGCTTGGATGTTTGGACTTTAACTGTTTGCCAACTAATGGGGTTTGGTGTGGCCGCCCTTTTGATTCTTGAATACCAGGTTCTGATTCGGACTCATGTAAGGTTTGGTTGAAAGGAATGGTAGTGTATGGGGCATGAGATGTACGCGTAGCGCGGGTACGGCTGCCGGATCGTTTTTTGAGCTGCTTGAGATTTCAGGTTGACAAAAATGTCCAGTAGGTATATTTGGGAGGGACGGGGATTGGGGGGGGAGGGGTTCACGAAAGGAAATCCTCACAAAAACCAGCGACTCACGAAACTTCAAATGACCACGTGGGATTCAATCAATTGATTTTGACCATGCCTCATGTGGTTGCAACATTCCATGCTGTAATTGATTTATGGACCACACACGGGCATGACAGATTGGACTTACTCACCTACAGCTCCCATGTCAGGGGATGTAATGAATAATGACTGTGGCTGTCCTATATTCTGGCCGTAGTTGAAGGGAAACCCAAACCCAAAAGAGCCTTCTTGTTGTGCGCTTCCTACTTTGAAATCTGCTCCGTGAGAAATATTTGGAAGTGGGGTGGGAGGGGTACGAAGGACTTGAAAATGGCAGGACCCACGCTTTGGTAACTGAATCAACCCCTCCTTAACAAACTGTGCGGAATGGTCTTAGCCAAAAACTCGGGTGTAACCATCAGAAACTGTGTGCGGGCTGCTAGGGGAGTTTTGCATGGGTCTGGGCGTTCTTCTGCAGGACAACACAATAAGTCGTGGTCAGAGGTTCCTTTTTCTTTCAGGACCTTCATGCACGGGTGTTTGTCAAATTAGCCGCACCCTCCTTCCCAGCCAAAACAGCGTGGGTTCACCTTTTGGGATCCATATAGGTCGAGTCCGGCTCTTGGAAAAAAAAGCCGCTCGGTGAGGTTCTCTTCGTTCAAAGCGTTGCTGGCGAAGCTGATTGCCCTGCCAAGCAGGACACATGGCTGAGTGTCAGTGTGTCAGCGTGTCAGTGTGTGAGTGTCAGTCAAAGACAAGGCCAGAACTGGGGAGTTCCGCAGTTAGGGACCCAACTCATTGGATATAGGCTATTTGTCAAGTCTGTGCGGCTAAAGTAGGAACCTTTTATGGGTTTCCTTTTGGTCTTCCTTCAAACCAACAAATCATCAAATCCCGCCTGACAATTGGTGGTTTGATTCGGTTTGGACCTTTCCCCATCCAAGCCACCTTTCTCGCGGGGTACCAAATGCACTTTCAACCAAAAAATGAGCCCAATTGTCCAGTGCCCTTCCTTTTCTGACATTGCATCCACCCCCTCTTTTTGAGAATCCTATGCATCATCTTCCGGTTATCAACCAATGGGTTAAGTCTAGCTTGGGGTAATCAAGAAATAGAGCCGGTTCTGACCCTCCGAATCTACCGGTGGCTCGGTCAACTGTCACCACTTTGAGTGTGGCACTTTGCCTGATCTAAAACAAGGCATGGTCTGGACACCGTTCGGTTTTTCTTCAAATGTCTTCAAAGCAATTGGATTCCAGCCCCCACCCCCAGCCCCCGCGCCATTGTCCCACCTCCTTCCGCTCCTTTGGGAAGTTGAATCTTAACATCCAAGTGGGGCATGTCTGTTGGAATCCTGAGTTCCGCTTCCCTCATGGTTTGGAGCCTGGTTTGGTGAAACAGGGTGGGTTCCCACCCATTTGCGCAAAAGAAGCAGGGGTTCAAATCCAAATCCAAACCGCGAAGCCAAGCCAACAAGGGGTTTGCCGGGTTAGCTGATGAGTTGAAGTTGTAAAAAGAAATAAACGAGTTGGAGTCAGTCGCGAGGAGCAAGCTGAGTCCAGCCTGCTGCAGCTCCACACCAGCTGCACGCCGGAGTATCATGATCCTTACGAGTCCAGCTCGCGGGCATCTCGGAAGATGAAGTAAAAAAGATGGGTGTTGGGGTTTGTGCCTGGTGAGTTTGGTGGCTCCAAAGATTGATTTGTCCGAAATTTGGGTGTGTTTTTGTTTTGGGAGACCCCCAAAAATGGTGGTTTGCCTTTCGGTGTTCCTTTCCAAGCCACCCACAAAGTGGTACCCTCAAAAAAGACACCCATTGAACTCAAGGGGCTGACCTGCCAAAGCGATTTGCGTGACCGAAGAGTTTCCTATGTAAGGAGGGTCCATGAACTCACTTCCTGAGTTCATGGGAACTTTAGCCACTTTTTGGGTTTGGTTGCCCTTTTCCGTGGGCAAGAAGATTTGGTTTACTTGTTTGGCCCATCCACTCAGGAAGTGAGTTCATCAGTTCGCTGCTGCGAAATTGGAATGATCTTCATGATTGTCCGTGTCTCATGTCGGTCAGAAACATGTCTATTGCTATCATTTTGTTTTGTTCGCGGCTTGGATGCTTCCCTTTTGAAAAGCCACCGAAATTCCCCGGTGCGAGCCCTGCGGGTGGTTCCTCAGGTGTGCAACTTCAGAATTCGTGCTGGCTCAACAGAGGATCAGGGGTGTTGCCACGGTACGTCTCCGTTCAGTGGGTTCAAACCACCCCCCCATTTGTGGGACTTGAGACCAACCCAGAGACTCACTTCCTGAGTTCATGAACTTTAAACTTTTTGGGAGGACCATTTTAGTGGTAAATATCAAGTTTGGACTTTTTCTGGGCCATCCACTCAGCCAGTGAGGAGAAGGAGAATGGGAAGTGCCTGAGAAAGCCTCTCCCATGCGTCCCTTTTCTGCGCTTGATTGAGGGTGCCTTCTTCGGTCTGGTAAAGTATATCGAAGCATTCACTCATTCAACTGAAGCTCACTTACGCATTCTTACTCTCGCTCACTCAATTTACACTCACCTCACCAACCTATACTTTATTTATTTCTTTTTCCGGAATTGGCCTCATCCAGAAGGGTTGAGAATTGCCGCAGCTACCAATCCCTGCTCGATCTCTCCCAGATTGTCAGGTGGAGTGCTGCAGTGGGCTGGAGATGTGCCTGGGAGACAACGGGGGCTACTGGAGCTACACCTGCAAGAAGAGCTGCGCCCCGGCATCCAAACCCGATTTTCCTCGGGTTTCTGATTATTAAATTATCGACTTCATGGGAACTTTCGTCACTTTTTGGGTTTGGGAAGGCCATTTGAGTGGTAGATCAGAAGGTCGAACTTTTTTTGGCCTAAACTCTCCGGGCTGGACCATTTTAGAGGAAAATAAAAGGTTAGGGTACTTTTTCGGCCCATCCACTCGGGGTGAGAGAGATTAGGATTCCATGTGGTGGCCCTTGACCATGCAAGAAGAACAAAACCACCGATTTTGAGAAACGCCCAGATGAAGGTTAGGGGACAGTCCCACCCAGCCATGGGCGAAATTCTGCACATGGCTTTGGGTACACCACTTTGATATAAGTGATATGGGTATGAGCTAAGTTGGAAAACCACCTCAGAAGTGGTTGGTGGACATGAATCCCCACCTGACTGATGTCCACCATTTCGGGCTCACCCCCCTATCAGGTGTTCATTGTGACCTGGAAAGGTCAAGCGGGTCCCTGCCGTCCCCCAGGCGAGCCTTCTGCAAATTGGAGAAGACAGGGCAAAAAAGTAGTTCCGAAGAGAACGATGATAAGTCTAGCGATGGTTTCAGATATGGGCAATCAAGCCTGCTTGATGTCCCTTTGGTGTCCTTTGAGCAATCGAATATCGAATGGTGAAATTGCGTGAAATCGGTGCCGACTCTCTGCAGATCTTGGGAAGAAGGGTTCTCGTCCTCAAACTGACGGTGTCCATGCGAATTCGGTTTGGAATCCTTTTGGGTTCCCTGTATATTTGAGTCCTTTTTCTTTGCCTTGCCCTCGCTTCTGAAACCTTTTGATCGAAGGGGTTCTGCTAGGGTGAGAAACTTTCTTGAGAATAGGCCTTCAGTGCCTCGCCTTCCCTTTGGAGTTGATTTAACTTTGCAGGGTGCTTTCCAAAATAGAGGTATTTTTGGTAAAGAAGAAACTGGGTTTAAGTCGTCCATGGAAAGGACAAGACCAAGATCCTTCCATATGCGGAGAAGGGTGATGTTTACGCGCATGTGTTGGATTGAGAGCCGGCTGCTGGCGGCAAATCGGGGCAATCCCCACGTTGTAAGCTCCTTATCAAGGTTGCTTGCACACTGAATGTTGACCCCATATTAATCAACCCTAGTTTACCAATAGGGGGTGTC